ACCTGAAAAAACATTAATTCAAGTGTTTTCAGATGTTCCTATTGAAGCCTATAGGGCCCAAATTTGCTTCAAAAGTAGTTCTGCAGCTTTTGGAGCATCAGGCTGCATTAACACTATAGGCAGGGGCGGAATGACCATTTGGAAACTCTGCCACTGCCCAAGGGCCCAGGGTCAGTAGGGGGCCCCATGAGATGCCCATGGTACCTTTTTTATAGGCTTTTTTGAGTTTGGGCAAGGACACGGGCCCCATGATCCCCTATTTCCTGGGGGCCCCATGAGTTGTCAGTCCGCCCCTGACTATAGGGTTTCTTAAAAGTAATTGATTGTAAAGGCAAATTTTTTTTTTTTTTTGTTATTACATAACAAACATGTCATATTACCTGCTGTATGCAGTGGTTTAGCACAGCCCCATTCCCCCTCTTCTCAAGGTCCCCTGCCAGCGCTCCTGGCCCCTCCCTTCTGCCTAGTGCCCCCAGCAAGCAGCTTGGTATAGGGGGTCATCTTAACTGGCTTGCTGCCAAGCTGCTGCTCTGTATGTCTGTGGCTCAGCCTTGCTCCCTCTCTCTCCTCATTGGCTCACTGGCTGTGATTGACAGCAGCAGGAGCCAATGGCTCCCACTGCTGTCTCAGCCAATGAAGAGGGAGAGTCCCTGGAGAGCCGAGACTCTTGTTGACATCGCTGGATCGAGAGGGGGTTCAGGTATTAGGTGGGCTATGGAGGGAGCTGCACACAGGTGTGGGTTTTTTTTATATAATGCATGAAGGTAATAAAAAAAAAAACATAGGGCTGGACAACCACTTTAACACTTGCATTTCCGAAACGTGCTTGAAATACATGCTGCAGTCACGTTGCCATGCATTGGTAATGATGCCCCAAATGTGCATCAGATGCAGCAAAACGTGACGCTGAACACTGAAAAAAAAAAGGCGCATGAGCTACTTTGGCAGCTGTGTAGTAGCCTGTTGAAACGAATGGACTGCCCTATACATGTGCTCAGCGTTATTTTGTGCACATTCACGAAACGCTAAATACAAATACAGCCTCAGGTTTCAAACTACGGACATCTGTGTGCTCCTATCTGAACAGGCATCATTGAAATACATGGGATTTTGGATGTTGAGCATTTCGGAGCCTTGATCTGCCATACCCTTAATTGTGAATGAGGCCCTAAAGCTGGCCTTTAATTACATTTGTTCATCTTGGAAGTGGGGAATCACCCCAGTGATCACTGTAGCTACAGTGAATGCTGCAGTCCTGATTTCAAGTAAATTGTGCCAGCAAGATGTATGGATACTTTCTTACTTAGGGTGACAGCACATAGTTGAGGTGCATCATTGTTACTGTTTTCTGGCACTCCTGAGTTGAACTAAAAGCAGCTGTCCCGATGTACAGTGCGCTAGTACATTTTGCTGTAGTTCTCAAAATAAAGCTGTGACAATCAGCTGCTGCTGGAGCATTCACACATCCACAGGAAGTTTGTACATAGAGTCTACAGGATGTGCACAGAATGGGGAGTGAAAACCTGTACAAAGGTCCATGTCATGCTGGGAATTTTGTGGTGGTTACAGAATAGCTTTCCTTGGTGATTTTGTTGCTAGGAAAATATGAATGGCAGTCAATGAAAGGTATGTCATTGAAATTCCAAGTGATTTCTCGCTCCGTTGCTAAGCAATTGACTTTTTGCAGCATTTGGAGTTAGCAACAGGATTACCAGCTTTAGTAACTACTCATATTATCCAATGTAGCTTCTGATGACCATGGCACAGCAGCAGGTTGTAGTTACTTAAGTAAGCTTTGCAGTCAAGTACATCCGCTCTGTGACTAGCTACAGATCACCTGAGAAAATAACCAGTGATTTGTAAAAATCTGTGCTTCAAAGTTGCTGGTGTGACATGGTCCTAAGGGGAGAATTGTAATTATTAAACAATAGGAAATAATTTTATTTTACTTGCAGTACTCTGCAAAATGAAGTATTCATTTGTGGGATATTAGTTCTGCTTCACATGTGTTTTGAGTTCAACTTTTGGGTAGGTTCCTTAAAATTGACCAGTAGTATTTGTGATCTCATGAAAAAATGGAGACCTACAGGGGTGTGAAAATAGTTTTAAAAAAACTACTTGTCCAAAGGACTAAACTGGAGATCCAATCTACTTGTCCCTCATGACAATCTACTTGTCCTGATAAAAAAAAAAAAAATCAACAATTCTATCCTGGCAAAAAATTTTTTTTCCATTAGGCAGAGGTACTTTTAAAACGCAAAGGGCTTTACGGCAACTTAAACTGGTAGAAAATGTCTTAGAACCCTTACAAAAAAAATATAATTTTTTTTTATTTTAACCCCTTGGCGCCAGCACCTCCTGACCCTTTAAGGGTTTCAGAAGCCAGGAGGGAGGGTGGGGTTTAGACGGTCACATGATTGGAAAAAGGTCCCGATCGAAAGAAGAGATCGGGACCTTTCCGTGAGTACCGGACGTGTGCTGGGAGCGCCCAGGGCGCACGCTCTCAGCATTTTTTTTTTTTTTTTTTTTTGTTTAATAGAACGCAAATGTGCGGTCGCTCGGTGTCTAGGACCAGACGCCAGGAGGCCGCACATTTGCGTTTGGCCGGCGCCAAGAGGTTAAGACAGAGGCCATAGAGAATACATTGGTTGGTTTTGAAATGTTGTGTTATGTAATGCAGTATTTTCAAATGGAATTTTTTGAAGAAAATACACTTACAAATTTTAATGCAAAAAAACACAATACTAAACTAAATTTTACTATCCATCCACTTTTTCACAGCTTTGCAGATTACCTTAGATTTACAGAGAAGGTCTGGTGCTAGAATTATAAAAAAAAGTATTTGACGGTGAGAGCTGACAATGGCACAGTAACAACACAAGTGTAAATTGGTAAAAACATTTAAAAGCAAGTGTATATAGTTCATAGTGTAGGCACTACAGGTAGCTCCCCATAGAGTGAAGCAGACTATGTAGAAATATAAGAAAACAAAAGGGGACGCCAACCTAAATGCAGTATGTATGAAAAGTTTATTTGTAATATAGCCAAATGGCTACTCACAAGAGAAATAAAGTATACAGGCGTTGGAACATGAGCAGAGTGTATCAGTGTACATGGATGAGATCATTTGTTTACCACTGGCAGGGGTGATTACAATATTCATGTAAAGCCTTTATCCCAAAAGGGGAAAAAAAGTTTGTTGTAATTGATTATGAAGTGTGAGTTGGAGTTTGGCGGTGGAGTGCTTAGTAACATGTTACACCCTTAATACAGACATAACATGTTGCTAAAGGTAGAGCCTTCAACTTCCTGGTTTTTCTCTGGGACAGGAAGTGAAGAGAAATGTCGCCGATGGTACATGGACAAATTCAAAAATAACCTGGCAGGGATTTTAACCCTTCCCCTTTTCTATCCAACAATTGGCTATAGATATACTTTAATGTATGTAGATATAGGCTTCTGAAGTGTGGCATTTGTATAGGAGCTAATACTGGGTTTAGCTACACTTCATGGAGGGGGACACTTCAAAGTTTTCATCTGGCAGATTATGGTCCCTAGGATCCATGGGGGAAGGGACAGTTAAAGTAGAGGAAAGGTTTGCTTTACCGCTATGTAGATGTTAAAGTGGTTGTAAAGGCAGAAGGTTTTTTGCTTTAATGCATTTTCTGTCCGCTAGCCTTTCTAAATACTTATCTGCCCAATCTCGATCCAGCGCTGTGCCTGAGAGCATTGGCTCTTTTCGCTCTCTCTCCTCACTTGACTTGGATGGCAGTAACGGGAGCCACTGGCTCCAACTGCAGTTAATCACAGCCTATGGGGAGAGAGCAGGAGGCGGGCCAAGCCACACAGTGTGTCTATTGACACACAGAGCGTAGCTCATGATAGAGATTTGAATCCGTCAGTAATTTTGCTTGATAAGAATGCATCACATTTATTACAGGATTCTACATAGCATTGACCATGTATTCGGTGATTTACATACTGTGCATTCCCATCAATCCCTTTGCAAGGAGCTCACGGTCTAATGTACCTACCTTACATACATACATACATACATACATACATACATACATAAGAACAATTTCGGCAGAAACCAATTACCCTACTAGTGTGTCTGTGGAGTGTTGGAAGAAAGAGTGCCTGGAGGAAACAAGCGCATGGAGAACATGCACGCTTTCTGCAGATTGGGGTTTGAACCAAGGGTCCCAGTGCTGCAAGAATTAAGCTCGAACTACAGTGTGCTTAAAAGCCTGTTAAACATAAATTTTAGCTAACAAATGATAGATCCTCCTATCTTACATTGGTATGGACCGACTAGTGTAGTCATTGTGAAGAAATTCACAAAAAAGCAAATGGTGAGTACTAATAAAACTAGGTGACTGACTCACCCTTTAGTGATTTAGTGACTTTGTTGCATAATGTATGTATTGCAGCATGGGTTTAAGAGACTGAATCTTATTGACCTAGACATTTATGTAATGAGGATAATATTGATGCTGAGATTTATTTTTTTACCAGACAGTTTTTTTTTGTTTGGGGCCAAGAAGTACTAAATTTCAAACACGCTTATGTAACAAAGCCCGGGTCTTATAATAATCTTATTTTTGCTCCTTTTACGTTTGAAATGTCACATGCTACAGCTCAGCTCCCTCTAGCAGATTATTTTCCAGTGGTTTTTTTTGCTTCCATTTTTAAATAATCTTCTTTTTTTTTTTTTTTCCAGGAAAGAAGAAAACCAAGCTAACTCATTTTGGGAGAAAAATATGGAATGCATTTTACTGTTGACTGAGCACACCCAAAGAAACTTTGACAGTACTTTTAAAATCCTCAGTTAGCAGTTTGTTCATTCTCTTGAACACCAACTAGCAGTTTCCAGATCGAGCTGATCTTTGTTTACATAACTTCGCTCGGCACAAGTTCTTTCAATTCTCCTATAGTTTACTATTTATTACATTTCTTTTCTTTACTTTTGTCACCGTAAGGAAAAACAAACCGCCAAAATGGTTCTGGATGAGTACTTGTGGATGGTTATTGTTGGCTTTATCATAGCCTTTATCTTGGCATTTTCTGTGGGTGCCAATGATGTGGCTAATTCATTTGGCACAGCCGTGGGTTCTGGAGTGGTTACATTAAAGCAAGCTTGCATATTGGCGTCAATCTTTGAAACAACGGGTTCGGTGCTGCTGGGAGCAAAGGTTGGAGAAACTATCCGAAAGGGTATCATCGATGTGAACCTTTACAACAACTCGGTGGATTTACTGATGGCTGGGGAAGTTAGTGCGATGGTTGGTAAGTAACATATTTTATGTATAAATACAGAATTTGTTTGTAGTTTTGTCCTATTTTTTATTTCAATTTACACATTTGTAGACTACTGCTGCTTAAAAAATATAATATTTACGTGTGGTACCCTTTTTTTTTTTTTTTTTTTTTTTTTTTTTTTTTTTTTTTTCTTTTTTTTTTTTGTGCCAAATTGTTCCAATACAGCAAGACTCTTGTCCCCCTTGGCAGCATCTTTTGGATGACTTTGTTTAAAGTGGAGGCCCAGCCAAAAGACATGCCAGTAATGCTTTTTGGGGTCATGGACATGGAAGTTTTTGCAAGCCTATTCATAAACTGTGTGAAAACTGGCAGAATTGCAGTGATTGTTATAGTTGCTGCAACTGAAATCCTGTTATTTCATAGGTCGTTAGGCATGCTCGGGGTTCAGAAATAGGCCATCTTATTTCATTAGATTTAAGATTCCCTTAAAGTGGTTATAAACCTCTGAAATGAAAAAGAAACGGGTCCCTCTATAGCGTGTATTAACTTTCAATTCTAAGCACCAAGCGTGATTTCTATCTCGTCTCTATGCCCTCTATCTACAAAGTCAATTCTTATTTATCCCAACACCACACATATCTGGTTATCCCAACACCACACATTTTGAAGAAGGAACCCCCCCCCCTTCCTCCAGAAGGTAATTGACAGCCTATGCTGTGCATGTTTCCCCATGACACTGTTTAGAGGGAGTGTGTCATTTTCCCTCCACTTAGGTCTCAGATTCTACTCTGCTCCCTACTTCTTGAGTGTGACATCAGATCCCCGTCCCCTGCCTTTCAGACTGAAAAATAGCCTTTGATCAGGCTATTTTAGAAGGCTGTAGCGAAGAGAGGGCTCCTGCTGCTGTCAGTCGAATCTTGTGAGAAGGGAGTGGGGATGGAGCTGAGCTGTGGTGTCTGTCTTTATGGATGCACACAGCCCGGCTCAGGAGTGAGCCTGTTGGTGTGCTCCCATAATAAGCATCTCGCTTCTGGGGACAAACACGGAAGTGGAGGAGCAGAGAGTGCTGGCTAGGGACCCCAGAGTAGGGGGTTTGGGGCCACTCTGTGCAATACATCTATGTAATGTTCCCAGCCAGTATTCGTTGTAGAAGCGAGAGGTACTTACAGCTGCAAAGCAACCCTGTCACTACAGGGTTGGAAGTGAAATATTGCTAGTCTACAAAAGGAGGTGCCACATATTTACTGTATCTTTCTGGATACCTGTGTGTTACATTTGTCGGTTGTTCTTTCTTATCTGTTTTTAAAAGAATACAAAAAAAAGTGCAACCCTCTTCCTCCCCACCATCCCCTACAGTTATAAAATAAAATAAACATGACCTTTTTATATCTTTTTTTTCTTTAACCACCTCAATACTGGGTACTTTCACCCACCTTCCTGACCAGGCCAGTTTTCAGCTTTTAGGACTGTCACACTTTGATAATTACTCAGTTATGCAACACTGTACCCATATTACATTTATTGTTTTTGAGACAGAGCTTTCGTTTGGTGGTATTTAACTTCTTGCCAACCGCAGATAGCTGAATGACGGCTACACTGTGGCCAGCCATTTCTGGGAGGGCGTCGTATGACGTCCTCCCAGAACGCGCTCTCCTCCGCGCCCCCGGCGATCTCTGTGATCGCTGTGTCCTAAGGACACAGCTGATTACGTGATGTGGTAAAAGGCCAATCACAGCGGCCTTTTACCACATGATCAGCCGTGTCCAATGACACGCTGATCACGGGGAAATGCAATTGCTGGTTCTCAGCTGCACTTTTCTCATGCTGTCAGAGCGTGAGGAAAGTACTGCCGAGAACCGGCAGTTGTCAGAGCAGGGATCGGCACTAATCATCAGGGCACTGATGATCAGTGCCCTGATGATCGGTGCCCAGCAGTGCCACCCACCAGTTCTGCCCACCAGTGCCGCCCACCAGTGCCCATAAGTGCCACCTGCCTGTGCCCAGCAGTGCCACCCACCTGTGCCCATCAGTGCAGTGCTGCCAGTCAGTGCCACCAGTCAGTGCCCAGCGGTTGTGCCAGTCAGTGTCTGGCATTTGCGCCAATCAGTGCCTAGCAGTGCCGCCAGTCAGTGCCCAGCAGTGATGCCAGTCATTGCCACCTATCAGTGCCCATCAGTGCCACCTCAGTGCCGCCTATCAGTGCCCTTCAATGCCGCCTATCAGTGCCCATCAGTGCTGCCTCATCAACGCACATCAGTGAAGGAGAAAAATTACCTGTTTGAAAAATGTTATAATAGAAACAAAGAAAAAAAAATTTTTTTCACTTTTTTTGCACTTTTTTTGTTTATAGCGCAAAAAGTAAAGTGCCCAGTGGTGATTAAATACCACCAAAAGAAAGCTCTATTTGTGAGGAAAAAAATGATAAAAATTTCATATGGGTACAGTCTTGCATGACCGCGCAATTGTCAAAGTGCGACAGCGCTGAAAGCTCAAAATTGGCCTGGTAAGGAAGGGGATATAAGTGCCCGGTAGGCAAGTGGTCAATCACTACTGGGTTTTTTAACTTTTTTGCGCCACAAACAGACCGCAAATTTGTTAAAAAAAATTTTTAAAAATGTGTTTTTAGTTTCTGTTCTGAAGTCTACAAGCTATGGTACCAATCATTGAAAATTGATTACACCTGATGTACTGATGGCCTATCTCATTTCTTGAGGCCCTAACATGCCAGGACAGTACAAATACCTTCCAAATGACCCCTTTTTGGAAAGTATACACCCCAAGGTATTTAGTAAGAGGCATGGCGAGTTTTTTTGAAGTTGCAATTTGTCAAGTAATTTCTCACACACAGCACAGGCATACTTGCAACTACACCCCATAACACATTCTGCTAATCCTCCTGAGTATGGCAATACCCCATGCGTTAAACTTTTTCACAGCATAGCCGCATAAAGAGGCCCAACATCCAAGGAGAACCTTCAGGCGTTATCCACTTTAAGACCAGGCCACCTTCTGACACTTTTTGTTTAAAAGTAAAAAGCAGTATTTTTTTAAAACCTTGAACCCCCAAACATTATATATTTTTTTATCAGAGGTCATAGAGCATAAAATAGTGGGTCACATGGTATTTGCACAGCGAAAATATATATATATATTTTTTTTTTTTTTTCCTAAAGCAATTTTACACACTAGTGCAAAAATACACTTTAATATATTTTAATGCACACAATATAATACCACATTTGTTTTGTAAAATATAAAAATATGGTGTTGCACCGAGTAAATAGATGCCAAACATGCCATGGTTTAAAATTGCGCATGCTTGTGAAATGGCGCCGAACTTCGGGAATTAAAAATCTCAATAGACCATGTTTTATTAGCCTTTACAATTTAGCGTTAGAAGAGGACTGGTGCTAGATTTATTGCTCTGACGTTTGTGGCAATACCTCACATGTGGTGCAATTGCCGTTTACATGTACGTTCACCTTTGCACAGGGGGACAGGGCTGCTTTGAATTTCTTATTTATTGCTGAGCACAGATTCACTGACAGAGGTTTTTGTGCACTTGTACATCGTTACAGATGTTTGCCCACTGGCAGACGTGACAGATGTTTCTGTTGTGATTGGAACACTATTGCAGTTTACACTGTGACCTATGTTGATGGGACATTGGTATACTGGCACAGATGCTGATGTGACACTGGCACAGATGCTGATGTGACACTGGCACAGATGCTGATGTGACACTGACACAGATGCTGATGTGACACACTTGGACAGGGACAGATGATGGTGCTTCATGTACTGTGTGGGGATGGCAGCAATCTGTGTGTTCTTTGCATAGCTGAACACTAAAATCAACTATGCAGAGAGCTGTCACAGGCTTGCAGCATTCCCCCACCCCACATTGAGCTCGGTGGGTAAAGCCGACACAGATACATGTGTGTCTGTTTACACTGAATGATGGCTGTGATTGGACACAGCCTTCACATGATCGGGAGGGCCAATCACAGCGCCCGTATCCTGATCTGTGATGTGCCGTGTTTGACGGACACAGCCATCACAGGAGCGCGCCACCCGGCACATGTTATGAGAGCGTTCAGGAATGTCCTCACAGAACTGGAAAGCTCCCACCTGGCCGTTTATGTGCAGTTGCTGGGTGGGAAGCAGTTAAAGTTGCATTGGTTCTGCTTGGTTACAGCTAATTGTTTTTAATCTTTAATCCAGAGGGTTGCTGGGCATACAGAAATTCACGATAGTAGCCTGTGCTACACACATAGTCAGCGCTGGTCTCTTCCAGGTGCTTCTGGAGAAACTTGCCCGCTTATATATTTAAGACTGGCAGTGGTCTCTCACTCTGCACCTCTGCCACTCAGAGAATGTCTTGGATTTTTTCAGTGAATATAAGGGGTTCTCTGATTGGAAGAAGCACACCTAGTGATGTCATTCACCCCTGCTCTCTTCCTCATCCAGTGAGAGAACACTTTGTATTCATTGGAAAGAAAAAAAAAAAAAGATAAAGACTTTTCCTTAATAATGGAGGTGCCAAGCAAGCAACCCCCTGTATGTGTTCAGAATGCAGACGGCAAGTTGCTCATGCAGCATCGAACTACACTGGGTACACTGTGTCATTGGTTCTGACAGTCTGCTGAGTTAGCTTTGTTTTAGTTTTTTTTGTGTGTGTGTGTGTGTGTATATATATGTATGTGTGTGTGTGTGTATATGTGTGTGTGTGTATATAAAGTAGTGAGTGTACAGCTTGTATAACAGTGTAAATTTGCTGTCCCCTCAAAATAAACCAAGACACAGCCATTAATGTCTAAACCGCTGGCAACAAAAGTGAGTACACCCCTAAGTGAAAATGTCCAAATTGGGCCCAATGTGTCAATATTTTGTGTGGCCACGATTATTTTCCAGCTCTGCCTTAACCCTCTTGGGCATGGAGTTCACCAGAGCTTCACAGGTTGCCACTGGAGTCCTCTTCCACTCCTCCATGACGACATCACAGAGCTGGTTGATGTTAGAGACCTTGCGCTCCTCCACCTTCCGTTTGAGGATGCCCCACAGTTACTCAATAGGGTTTAGGTCTGGAGACATGCTTGGCCAGTCCATGACCTTTACCCTCAGCTTCTTTAGCAAGACAGTGGTCATCTTGGAGGTGTGTTTGGGGTCGTTATCATGTTGGAATACTGCCCTGCGGCCCAGTCTCTGAAGGGAGGGTATCATGCTCTGCTTCAGTATGTCACAGTACATGTTGGCATTCATGGTTCCCTCAATGAACTGTAACTCCCCAGTGCCGGAAGCACTTATGTAACCTCAGACCATGACACTCCCACCACCATGCTTGACTGTAGGCAAGACACACTTGTCTTTGTACTCCTCACCTGTTTGCCGCCACACACGCTTGACACCATCTGAACCAAATAAGTTGATCTTGGTCTCATCACTCACTACTTGTATAACAGTGTACATTTACTGTCCCCTCAAAATAACACAACACACAGCCATTCATGTCTAAACCACTGGCAAAAAAGTAAGTACAACCCTAAGTGAAAATGTCCAAATTGGGTCCAATTAGCCATTTTCACTCCTGGTGTCATGTGACTCAGTGTTATCAGGTCTCAGGTGTGAATGGGGAGCAGGTGTTTTAAATTTGGTGTTATCGCTCTCACTCTCTCATACTGGTCACATGGCACCTCATGGCAAAGAACTCTGAGGATCTGAAAAAAAAAGAATTGTTCCTCTACATAAAGATGGCCTAGGCTATAAGAAGATTACCAAGACCCTGAAACTGAGCTGCAGCATGGTGACCAAGACCATAGAGCAGTTTAACAGGACAGGTTCCACTCAGAACAGGTCTTGCTATGGTTGACCAAAGCAGTTGAGTGCACATGCTCAGCGTCATATCCAGAGGCTGTCTTTGGGAAATAGACGTATGAGTGCTGCCAGTATTGCTGCAGAGGTTGAAGGGGTGGGGGGTCATCCTGTCAGTACTCGGACCATACGCCGCACACTGCATCAAATTGGCCTGCATGGCTGTTGTCCCAGAAGGAAGCCTCTTATAAAGATGATGCACAAGAGAGCCTGCAGACAGGTTGCTGAAGACAAGCAGACTAAGGACATGGATTACTGGAACCATGTCCTGTGGTCTGATGAGACCAAGATAAACTTATTTGGTTCAGATGGTGTCAAGCGCGTGTGACGGCAAACCGGTGCGGAGTACAAAGATAAGTGTCTTGCCTACAGTCAAGCATGGTGGTGGGAATGTCATGTGGCGTTGCATGAGTGCTGCCGGCACTGGGGAGCTACAGTTCATTGAGGGAACCATGAATGCCAACATGTACTGTGACATACTGAAGCAGAGCATAATCCCCTCCCTTCGGAGACTGGGCCGCAGGGCACTATTCCAACATAATGACCCCAAACTCATCTCCAAGATGACCACTGCCTTCCTAAAGAAGCTGAGGGTAAAGGTGATGAACTGGCCAAGCATGTGTGCACACATAAACCCTATTGAGCCTATGTGGGGCATCCTCAAACGGAAGGTGGAGGAGCACAAGGTCTCCAACATCCACCAGCTCTGTGATGTCGTCATGGAGGAGTGGAAGAGGACTCCTGTGGCAACCTGTGAAGCTCTGGTGAACTCCATGCACAAAAGGGTTAAGGCAGCGCTGGAAAATAATGCTGGCCACACAAAATATTGACACATTGGGCCCAATTTGGACATTTTCACTTAGGGGTGTACTCATTTTTGTTGCCAGCGGTTTAATGGCTGTGTTGAGTTATTTTGAGGGGACAGCAAATTTACACTGTTATACAAGCTGTACACTCACTACTTTACATTGTAGCAAAGTGTCATTTCTTCAGTGTTGTCACAAAAACGTGAGGGGTGTACTCAGGTGTGTGTGTGTTGCCCTGTACATGTATATAGTGGATAGAGCCATTTAAAATTCAGTCTTGCTATCCCAGATACCATATTTTTTGCTCCATAAGACACACTTTTTTTCCCCCAAGTTGGGTTGTCGGTCAAGGGCACAAATTAGCACAGTGACTTTTTTTCACAGGTGTGCGATAGCTAAAATTCTCAAAG